GAACATTTACAGAGGTATATTTAGTTTGTTTGTTAAGACTATTCTATAGGAACAGTTACAGAGGTATATTTAGTTTGTTTGTTAAGACTATTCTATAGGAACAGTTACAGAGGTATGTTTAGTTTCTTTGTTAAGACTATTCTATAGGAACAAATACAGAGGTATATTTAGTTTCTTTATTAAGACTATTCTATAGGAACAGTTACAGAGGTATATTTAGTTTCTTTGTTAAGACTATTCTATAGGAACAGTTACAGAGGTATATTTAGTTTATTTGTTAAGACTGTTCTATAGGAACAGTTACAGAGGTATATTTAGTTTCTTTGTTAAGACTATTCTATAGGAACAGTTACAGAAGAAACTAAATATACCTCTGTCTGTAACTGTTCCTATAGAATAGTCTTAACAAAGAAACTAAATATACCTCTGTAACTGTTCCTATAGAACAGTCTTAACAAATAAACTAAATATACCTCTGTAACTGGTATATTTAGTTTCTTTGTTAAGACTGTTCTATAGGAACAGTTACAGAGGTATATTTAGTTTCTTTATTAAGACTATTCTATAGGAACAGTTACAGAGGTATATTTAGTTTGTTTGTTAAGACTATTCTATAGGAACAATTACAGAGGTATACTTAGTTTGTTTGTTAAGACTCTTCCATAGAAACATTGAGATATATATTTAATACCTAAACTATAAGAACCTGAGTGTTAGATTATCTATTTAATACTTGTTTCTCAAGTAATGTTGTAAACAATTTAGATTTAACCAACAAATCTGCCAATTATAAATGCATTTTTATTTTAAAGTTAATAAAGCCCTGTATCTAATTGAATTGTGTGTTATGACCTGTTCTGATACTATTTTACCACTTGTAAGAAAATGGAACTTGTAATAAGTACGGGCACTCTTATTTTTGTTTTGTTTATACGTTCTTGTTTCTTACTTTATGCTTTTAGTAAAATAGAAATGCTTTAATCTGGCTTTGATGTTAGCACTAGACAACAGAGAAAGTGAAATAATTGACTGTATTGTGTAACTGAAGTAATATTTCTGATTTATTCTATTCTTAAGTAACACTTATGTAGTTCCATTTGTTAAATGTACAGATTTCTATATTAGGCAACAGATGGTGTTGATAAGAGTTTACTGTTTCAACTGACTCATCCAGGACTACCTCCAGTTCTGTTTCATGCTGATACGCCCAGCTCTGCAGAAAGGTAACTGTCTTTTAGTATTCTGTTCTACATTTGGTAATTTTCACTCCTTGGGTGTTTTAATTATTCTTGTTCGTAAAAACTGATTATGTGAACTTAATGAAACTTATTACTAAAGTTTCAGTTTGTAAAGTTGAACTGAAGATTTTCTTTTCCTTCTGAATGAAATTGAAAGTTTTTTTTTTCATGATTCTTTTTTTTTTACTTAGCAATGTTAATACCACTAATGTAGTTTAATTTGGATATTTTGTTCTTATTTAATGCAAAACTTTACACTACCTATATCACAGACTTTGAGAAATAACCAGTTTATTATGTCTTGAGGTTTATGAGGTGGGAAAGTTTGAGTTATGTTTATCCTGTATTATCTTACCTTTACTCAAGTTCCAGGTGTTTATATGTATCCTTTCAATGTATCGTTATATGTGTTCTTTTTTCTCGTAATCTTAACAGATGGATCAGGGCCATGAAAGAAGCAACTCACCTGGAGTGACGAGTAAAATTATCAAAATTTGTGGTTACAGTAGAAAGTTTGTATCAAAAATTTGTCACCTGTACATCCAACGATACTGCCAAGAGGCTTTAGTTCAAAGATTATATTTGTGTGAAGAACCAAACAACTTAAAATATAAATTAATAATATGTCTGTATAGAGTAAAAAAAGCACCACTGTATAAAGTAATATATTAATATTTTTCTGACACAGTTTCTAAAATAAACTGAAGATAAATAACAAATCTGCCTGTTATGAATTGAGCTGTTGGAAGAAAATTCTTTAAAACTCTTAAACGAAAGCTTAACTACTACTTAGCAGAGACGATAGCAGCCATGGGTTTCTGTAGTTGATTAACTGAATTTTTTTTTATATGTCGTTAAGTTATATAACTACACAACACAATGATTAGGGCTGAATATATTTACTTGAACAAAAATCTTACCATGATACTGACTATTGTCTATATATTAAAATAAAGTTTATAAATACCCTGATACTGACTATTGTCTATATATTAAAATAAAGTTTATAAATACCCTGATACTGACCATTGGTTACCTATTAAAAAATAAAGTTTATAAATACCCTGATACTGACTATTGGCTATATATTAAAATAAAGTTTATAAATACCCTGATACTGACAATTGATGTTTGTTTACAAACATCAAGTTTTCACTGTTATAATAATAATTTATTGAATAATATTAGGCAGGTGTTTGTTTACAAGCATCAAGTTTCCACTGTTATAATAATAATTTATTGAATAATATTAGGCAGGTGTTTGTTTACAAGCATCAAGTTTCCACTGTTATAATAATAATTTATTGAATAATATTAGGCCAGGTGTTTATTTACAAGCATCAAGTTTCCACTGTTATAATAATAATTTATTGAATAATATTAGGCAAGTGTTTGTTTACAAGCATCAAGTTTCCACTGTTATAATAATAATTTATTGAATAATATTAGGCAGGTGTTTGTTTACAAACATCAAGTTTCCACTGTTATAATAATTATGTGACTTAGTTAACTGAATATTTTATTTATGTGTAGTCCAACAGTTTAGTACATGAACAGCCTATTATCTTAATGTACAATACTTCTGATTCAAGTAAACTTTAAACACTGTGATATTATTTTTAGAGTATTTATGATAGTATGTTAAAAAATGCACTTTTTAAAATAAATCTTTTCAAATTGTATTTGGTTTCATGAAAGTTAGATTTGTGTATGTTGCTTAGCTCTGCACGAGAAATGTTTATGTTTAGTTGTAAAATGTTGTTAGGTTTGGCCGAAGAATGGCCATTTACCTATGTACAGAAAAAGTCTGGATTCTTGGACAGTTTGCATCTCAAGTTGCATTTCTCAGAATTCTCAGGTGGTTTCTAGTTTTGTTTTGATGCTAATGTTTTAGATTAAAAGCTGTGATGATTGGATTTTATAATATAGAAATGCTGACTGTAGCTTTTAAGTCTGTGCCTGTATAACAATCTTAGACCGAGTGTTTCTTGTAGTGTAACATGGAATGTTACGTAGTTTATAGTTACAAATAGTGTAAATGTTGTACTCAATTTTTTATCTAAAATTCACTGACATTTATTTCTGATACCTCCACTATTTTAACAGGCTTTTAGACGTTTAGTATTGTTCTTGCATGTTATGTTCATTTAAACCTGCAATCAGAATATGTATAAAAATTGTTAGTGATATACAATACCAGTTGTAACCTGGTAGTTACAGAGCATGTCTATACCAACTGAGAATTTGGGATTTATTAAAAGTGATGTTTAAAATTGTCGTGTAATCATAATTACCTCATACAAAGCTGTCCATGAATGATGGAGTACATGTACACTAAATTGTGAAATTAGTTTGTTTATCGTTGAATGTTTATTTAATATGTTTTAGAAAAACCATAAATCCAATAACAAAACTGTTGGTTCACTAAATCTTGATGACAAGCTGACCAGAGTAGCCAAATTTTTATAATGATAATGTATATCTTGCTACTAATAAAAGTTACAAAATTTTAAACTTCTTCATCAGTTTAATAGGACTGTTATTTTAGCATATATAAACTGTAGTATCAAGCTTTTATTCAGAAGTGTTTAATTGGGGAAAATTTAATACCAGTTTTTTTTCTTGAAATGATAAGAAATTGTATGTAAAAAAGCTATTATTATAAAGAGGAATTATTGGAGACAATGTTTGAAACTGTAAATAAACATGTTTCCTTGAGTGACTCTATGTTATTGTCTTATTAAAATAATAGGTTCATTTGTAACAGGACTATAACATACTATGCCCATATAAAACAGGAATTGCACAACACATGACACTGAGAATGGGCTATGCCTCAAATCTGTAACATCACCAATTAGTAAAGAGCTGTGAGGATCTAAAACTGGATGTCATACAGGTCTTTTTCTCAGAAAAGCTCATTTTCTTCAGGGTTCTAAAACAATATGTTTGTTAAAATAAAAGCCATGTTTCAAGGAGTAATGTTTGTACCAGGGTGAGGAGTTTAACATTATGTTTTCGGGAGTAATTCTTGTAACTAGGTGATGTGTTTCACATTAGGTTTAAAGGAGTAACACTTGCAACAAGTCGACATTAGGTTCTAGGAGTAATGTTTGTACCAGGGTGAGGAGTTTATTAACATTATGTTTTCGGGAGTAATTCTTGTAACTAGGTGATGTTTTTGACATTAGGTTTCAAGGAGTAACACTTGTAACAAGTCGACATTAGGTTCTAGGAAGTAAGCTGTAACTAGGTGATGTGTTTGACATTAGGTTCTAGGAAGTAAGCTGTAACTAGGTGATGTGTTTGACATAAGGTTTTTAGGAGTGAAGCTTGAAACAAGGTAACGTGTTTGACATTAGGTTTCGTGACGTTACTGAAAGTCAATCCACTATAATAACCAGTGAATGTTGCATGCCCTGTGGTCAGTTGTTAAGTGATGGCTCTGTGTAAATCTTTAGAGTCTATAATATGCCCATTTCACCTGTAAGTCAAATAAGGCAAGATTCAGATAAAATTATCAAAAGAACCAACAGAAAGATAGGAACTTATTTGAGACAAAATGCCAAAGGGGTAATCTTGTAAAATACAGTTGCATCAGATGACCAAAATATTTGTAAATGTTTGGCACAGATCAATTTATGGGATAACCACACAACACAATTATTAACTATGTATTGTCAGAAAGAAAAATTAGGTATGTCCAATTTAAACTGTACTGCAACTAAGGATATGTTCAACATAAACTGTACTGCAACTAAGGATACGTCCAACTTAAACTGTACTGCAACTAAGGATACGTCCAATTTAAACTGTACTGCAACTAAGGATACGTCCAATTTAAACTGTACTGCAACTAAGGATACGTCCAACTTAAACTGTACTGCAACTAAGGATACGTCCAACTTAAACTGTACTGCAACTAAGGATACGTCCAATTTAAACTGTACTGCAACTAAGGATACGTCCAATTTAAACTGTACTGCAACTAAGGATACGTCCAATTTAAACTGTACTGCAACTAAGGATACGTCCAATTTAAACTGCACTGCAACTAAGGATACGTCCAATTTAAACTGCACTGCAACTAAGGATACGTCCAATTTAAACTGTACTGCAACTAAGGATACGTCCAATTTAAACTGTACTGCAACTAAGGATGGATAGATGTACACCTGAAGAATGATTGGTTTAAAATGTGATGCTCGTCACTGGATTAACAGCCAAATCACACAGCACAAAGAATAACAGTTTACAGGATATTTGCACCTAAACCATTAACAAGTCATGGATACCAAAAACCACTAGAGATAATTATTTTTCTTTACTTAAGAACAGCATTTTTATCCATTTCTGGCATGATCTCTAGCAATGCCAGACATATTCATACCATTCAGATGAAATATTATGTTCCAGTGACTGTTGCAACTTAGCAGATTGATATTTACTGTGTTCATTTGGTTGTTGTGACTTACTTAATAGGTTGATATTTACTGTGTTCCATTGACTGTTGTGACTTACTTAATAGGTTGATATTTACTGTGTTCCATTGACTGTTGTGGCTTGCTTAGCAGATTGATATTTACTGTGTTCATTTGACTGTTGTGACTTACTTAACAGGTTGATATTTACTGTGTTCCATTGACTGTTGTGTCTTATTTAGCTGGTTGGTATTTGCTGTATTCAATTGACTTTTGTGGCTTACATAGCAGGATGGTATTTACTGTGTTCCATTGACTGTTGTGACTTACTTAATAGGTTGATATGTACTGTGTTCCATTGACTGTTGTGACTTACTTAACGGGTTGATACTTACCGAGTTCAATTGACTGTTGTGGCTTAATTAGCAGGTTGGTATTCACTGTGTTCAATTGACAGTTGTGGCTTACATAGCAGGATGGTATTTACTGTGTTCCATTGACTGTTGTGGGTTACTTATTGGTTGATATTAACTGTGTTCAATTGACTGTTGTGGCTTAATTAGCAGGTTGGTATTCACTGTGTTCAATTGACAGTTGTGGCTTACATAGCAGGATGGTATTTACTGTGTTCCATTGACTGT